TTTGTTTTGTTTTTAGTCTTTTTTCTATTTACTGTTCAGTTTTGGACATTTCCACTGAGAAATCCTGAAGCTCAGAGAGTCTTTCCTCAGCTGTATCTAATCTACTAATACACCCATGAAATGCATTCTTCATCTCTCTTCCTGTGTTTTTGATCTCTTGCACTTCTTATTGGTTCTTAGAATTTCTATCTTTCTGCATGCACTGTCCATGTATTCTTACATGCTATCTACTTTATCCACCAGAGCTCTTTTGGCCTATTGTTCATCATTGTTTTAAATTCCTTGTCTGGGGGCGCCTGGGAGGCTCAGTTGGTTAAGTGTCTGTCTTTGGCTTGGGTCATGATCCAGGAGTCCTGGGATCAAGCCCGATTTTCACATCGGGCTCCCTGCTCCGCCTTGCATCTCCTTCTCCCTCTGCCTCCTCCCCACCACCCTTGCTCATGCTTTCTCTCAAATAAGTGAATAAAATCTTTTTAAAAAGTAAAATAAATTCCTTGTCTGTTAATTCCATAATCCTTGCCATATCTAACCATATTTTTGGCCTTTTATTGGTCTCATAATTTTTTCTTGATGACTGGACATAATGGACTGGGTAAAAGGAACTACTATACATAGGCTTTTCCTTTTTTCTCTTTTTAAAAGATTTATTTATTTATTTATTTATTTATTTATTTGAGAGAGAGAGAGAGAGAGAGAGCACAAGCACAAGCAGGGGGAACAGCAGAGGGAGAGGAGAAGCAGGCTCCCCACCAAACAGGGAGTCCAATATGGGGCTTGATCCCAGGACACTGGGATCATGACCTGAGCTGAAGGCAGATGCTTAACCAACTGAGCCACCCAGGCACCCCTACATAGGCTTTGCATGAAAGAGAGGCCAGGTGTTAGAGGAAGGGCAGCATTGTGTAATCCTATGACTCAGTTGCAGGCTTCAGTGATTCTGTGTGCCCCTGGCCTGTGAACCTCACACAGGGTTCTCATTTCTCTCCCCCGTGTTTTCTAGATGGGGCAGAGCCAGTAGAGTGGGCTGGACCTCTCTATTCCCTCTTCTCCACAGGGAACGCTAGAGCTGGCTGGAGTTGGCTATTTCCCTTCCCTTAGGTCAGTTAGGCTCTGATAAAAATCCCAGCAGGTTAGGCGCTGGTTAAATGTTAAGTTTCCTCTGAGGGCAGATCTTGTTCAAGAACAGAATGCTCTGGCATGTTTCAAAACAGTGTCTTCTACTCTCCCCTCCTGGAAACTCTAGGGGATTTTCCTCTGACATTTCCTATGAGAACCTGCAGAGCTCCAGGAGGTAAAATGACCAAAGTGGGCCCTCTCCCCATGACTGGGTCCCCCTGTGATTTCTCTCTTAGATTTGTGCACACTGAACCTCCAGCCATTCAACAGCTACAGCTCTGGGGGCCCTGCCCTGGCATGGGTTTCTGCCCACAAGGGCTTCTGCCCCGTAATTGGATGTCACTCTCTCCAGTTTTGGGGGGCGCAGCAGGGTGCCCTGTAATCTGGCATCTTACCCATCTAAGAGGAGTTGTTGGCTGCAGCTTGCTCAGCTTTTTACTTGTTAGAATGGAGTGGCCACATCCAAGCTTCTTACATGCTGGACTGGAAACACATGAATTTCATTTTTAATGGAGGAATGAAGAGTCTCTTCATTATGCCTCTTCCCTCTCAGGAAACACAAAGTGTTCCTTCACGGGACAGTGTGTCTGCCTTCTTCCTGGCTACAATGTCTCTGGCCTTTGTCTACACCAACTGAAATTTTTTTCAATGTATCAAGCAGTGAATTATTACCAAATCCGGATTTGGAATATCTAGTCTGTATCTAGCATATGTACCTACGTAACTGGTTTCTGGGATTATTTGATTGGCCTGATTCCCCCACCAGACTGGAGGGCAGAATCTAGAGGTGGTCCTGCCCCCAATTTTGGGGCATCCCTCAGGGGTCCTAGGCAGGAGTCAAATCACAGGGAGCTCTAGTAACTCAGGGAAGAGGAGTCTTCGATTTCATGAGAAGAAACACACAAAAGTGACCTCTATTGACCAAAAGAAGACACTACAGTTACTTTTCCTCCCTTCTAGCAGAGGGAAAGGATCAACATAATCCCACCAGCTTCCAGGCACTTCATGTGTGTTTAAGCCACTTGTCCTTGGATTTACAATGTTGAGGTCTACAAGGTGGGCACCATCACTCCCACTTTAGAGCTGAGAAAAGCAGGGTTGAGAGACGGGAACTGATTCCAAGTTTCCACAGCGTTAAGTAGCATGGCTAAGATCCACCCCCCAGGTCTATGCGAGGCTAAAGGCTTGCTCTGTCCGCCAGTCCTCTGTTCCTCAAAGTGGGGTCCAAGGACCAGAGCCCAGGCAACATGGGGAGCATTAGCAATACAGACATCATGGGGCGCCTGGGTGGCTCAGTCGGGTGAACCTCTGGCTCATGGTTTCTGCTCATGTCATGATCTCAGGATCCTGAGCCTGAATCCCACATGGGGTTCAGTGGGTTGTCTGCTTGGGATTCTCTCTCCCTCTCTCCCTTTGCCCCTTCCCCTCTCTCAAATAAATAAATAAATAAATAAATCTTAAACAACAAAACACAACAACCATCAACACATACTTCAGACCAAGGCCTACTGAATCAGAATTTGTATTCTAAGGAGGATAAATAAAATAAATAAAAATGTTGTCTGTACCTTAAAGCTTGAGGAGCGCCCTGCCTCCTGCGAAGCGGTAGGGGAGTCCCAGTTCGTCTTCCTGAAAAGATACTGAGTTCTCATAGTTATTCTGTGAATGTGGATTTCTGGCTACAAAGCACTTCTGTCATTTTCCATGTACCGTCTTTACATTGTCTCCCTTTTCCCCTGGGAGGCAAACAGGGTCTGCGATTATCATTTTGATTTGAGAGCTGGGAAAACAGAAGCCCAGAGGGCAGCCACAATCTGCCCAGAGCTACCTGTCAGCAGGCCTCACAGCCCTTGGCACAGATTGGCTGGGAGGACAAGCCCCAGATCTTGGGAGGACAACCCCCCAAGATCTGGGGTTGGCTCCAGCACGGGGATGGTAGGTTCCTGAGCTTGCCTTCAGGGGTCAAAAAGGCTAAGGCCTGCTCCGAGAGAGCCGTCAACTATAGGACAACTGCTTACTATGCGCCAGGCTCCGGGCTAAGACACCAGGTGGATAAAAGTGTAAAAAAAAAAACAAAAACACAGGCCTGAGGTAGAGTCCTTTGCCCACGGATAGCAACCTGAGACTTCAGTGTTGTTTCAGCCTCCCCCAGAAATGTCTTAACTGATGAGCCAGGAATTTCTGGTCAGCACCAGGGAGGCAATCTGTCACCTAGGCCTTCTCCATCCCCCAAAGGAAGATGAAGTAATTCCCCTAAGATCCCCTGCCTTTCCCTTTAAGGGAAGGTGACTTTGCCTGAAACAATCCTTTCTTTTCTTTTGCTAATAACCATGTTGTCTACTCCCCCTCCCTTAAGAACCTTCCATTTTGCACAACTCCCTGGAGCATCTTAGTACTTGCTTCATAGGATACTGCCTGATCCATGAATTGCCTAATAAAGCCTACTTGATATTCATATTTACTCAGTTGAATTTTTTTTTTTTTTTAAGAGGTAGGGGTAGAGGAGAGGGGCAGTTGGAGAGCGAGAGAATTCTAAGCAGGCTCCAAGCTGAGCACAGAGCCACTATGGGGCTCCATTTCACCCTGAGATCATGACCTGAGCCAAAATTGAGTTGGACACTTAACTGAGCCAGCCAGGTACCCCTGAACTTTGTTTTTTGAACAGGAGCTATGCCCTTGCTCCCATGGAGATTACAGCATAATGGGGACCTAAGATCAGTGCTTACACATTTCGGGAACAAGATGGGGAGTATCTTGAGTATCATGACTGAATGAATGAACACGGCTGTTTGCCTTTAACATAGGTGAAAACCTTCATTCTTTCTGTTCACTCAGAGAACGTGAAACCAAACCTCAAGTTCTGGCCTTCATGGTCCCTTGTAAAGTATGACCCAAAGCTATCTCGCCCCTCCAGCCTTTCGAAAGTACTAGGCCACTTCAGAAGTATTTTCCTGGAGAGTCCCCACTCCCACCAGGAGGGAAAGGCGGTGTGGTGGAAGATGAGCTGGTTAGACTTCACCCTAGAGGCAAGTCTCATCCCTGCTCCCTCACTCAGGCAATACCTGGCAAACAATGCCCACTTTTCAGTTCTTCAAATGCCAAGTACCAAACACCAGATTCTTCCCCACAGGGCTTTTGCACATGCAGTTCCCATGGCCTGTAAAGGTTTTCTTAACCTCTTTTCATTTAGTTTATTCCTACTCATCATTCAGGGGCCAGCTCAAATGCCGCTTCCTCCAGGAAGGTTTCCCTGACTCCCCAGACAAGTTTCAGGCCCCCAAAGAGAACATTCTTTACATTTTCTTCTTGGCATATATCACAAATTGCAAGTATGCACTTGTGTGACCACGTGCTTAGCATCAGTCTTACCCATCTGTCCGAGAGTGGAGCTGCTGTCTTGCAGAGTGCCTTCCTGCCAGCCCCGAGCAGTGAGTGCCTGGGCTCTGTAACTGGGGCCTGCTCAACACATGCTTCTGAAGGGATGACGGTGGTTGTTCAGGAGTTTGAAGCTCATCCCAGAATGGGAGGTCAGCCAGACACGCAGCACAGAGCCCGGTCTGAAGCCATATGGGGTGGGGAAAATTCGAGGAGAGCTTGAACCAAGGCAGAGGCAGTGGGACAGGAGCCCAGGGGGAAATCCCCAGGTTGGCAGGGAAGGGCTGGTGGGATGTGGAAGAAAGGGGAGTCCTCACGAACCGCTTGTATGTTCCCATCTGGATGAAGAGAGCATGGCAGTACTCACGCCTGAGACAGGTCAAAGTCGATTAAGGCCAAAAGTCCCCGCCTACCCTCCCCCAACCCAGCCTACCTCCCTCCAGTCAGTGGCCTGGACTCTGTCCCCAGCACCAGACGGAGGCCACACAGCTCAGCAGCACAGCCTCTTTTTATTAACCATCTTCCCTGGTATGAATGTGCACGAGTAGAAAAGAAACCAAAAAATACCCTGGCAGGGAGGGCAGAGCAGGGGGCTCCTGAGGTTAGGCCAAATGGCCAGATTCCAGCTCCTTCTCCTGACAGGTCTGTTTCTGTGCGAGGACTCCCCTTACATCCCCCATCCCTTAGCTGAAATCCAACCTCAGGGGGCTATGCAGCCCTGCTGACTGGACCTCCTAGCCTTGGCAGGGATGGGCGCTGGAAGGGCCTGGCACTATGCAGGGCCTGAGAGAAAGCAGCAGCATGGGTCTTGCCTGAGGGGCTGAGGGTGGGTGGAGGGGGGCACAGGGATGTGAGGAAAGGTGGTCATCCAGGCCGGGAACTGAGCAGAAGCCTACTTCGCCGCCAGCCTGCCTCTGCTCCTGTGAGCTCACTGCCCTGAGTGGTGGGCTGCTGGGTGGGGTCCCGCTCACCTGTGCTATGGAGGTTTTGGGAAGGAGGGGCTGAGGAAATGCTGTGAGTTCCAGGTGGAGGAAGCCCTATTCAATGCCTGGGTTTGGTCGAAGTGAACAGCCGGAGAAGGAAAAATGGGAATGCAGATCAGGAAAACAGTGTCCCTCCTCACCCCATCTGGGGCACAATCCATGTGTGACCTCAGTGTGATTGACAGACGGCTGAGGCTGGCCCAGTGGACCCCTGGAGCTGCAGAAGCGGGCAAGAGAAGGGAGGTCTACTACCCCCAGGCTTATGTGAGGAGAGACTGAGCTAGAAAAATGGGGTAGGGGGTGAAGAAACAATGAAGGGAGGGAGCAGACCAGATCTGGACTGGAAGGGAAACTTCCACACTGGCGTGACTATACTCAAATGTTGCCCAGTCAGTGACAACTCGGCTGCTCTTCTCTGATGGCTACCCTGCTAGGGCTGACAGGAGAGAGATGACTAGAGAGCAGGCAGAAGAGAAGCAGTCACTGAAAGAGAAGCTATCAGAGAGGCTCCCCCGGACCCTGACTAGCCCAGCCTTCATGGGTTTGGAAAGTTCCAGCCTTCTCTATCACCCAACCTGTGCCTCTGAATTGAGGGGCCCACCTGGAACCGGAGAGAGAAAAGCAGACGTCCTACCAAGGGAAAAACTAACCAAGGAGTCCTCACAGCACCGTGGCAGCACGGCACGGCCCCCGGCCTCTGGTTCGGAGCCGGGCTGGCACCGTTTGTAAACATTAGACTTGATGATGTCTGCAAATGGAGGAAGACAGGGATGCCTGGACCCTCAGGTTTGGGGAAAGAGGCCCCAGGATGGGGTGGACAAGGCATGACTCTATCTACCTCTGTGCATCTGTATGACTTTTGTGCTACCTTTGGAAGTTGCCCGATCCCAGAGAAGCCACTGTGGGCCAAGCGGCTGACAACGGGCAGGCACGGGGTCCCAGGGTGACGAGCGCAGGTCCTGCTCAGGACAGGCTGCTCTGCAGAGGACGGTGGTGGCCCTCTGCCCACACTCTTTCTCCATAGTTAAGTCAGACTGGGTTCTTTTTTTCTGAGATGTTCTGACACTCTTCCCTTGTGTTTTTCAGCATGGAGAATTGAGCGTTGGAGGGCAAGGAAGGTTCTTCTGTGACCCAAGACCTTCCCCTGCCCATCCTCACACTGCTGGGACTGGAAAGCAGGAGGGAAACCAGGTTTGATCTGTCCAGAGGTGTGAGGCCTGATCTCACTCCAGAACTGTCCCTGGAAAAGGATGTCCAGATGTCATCCCACCAGTAAAGGGGAATGATGTTGGACTCAGGGTGGCCCCAAAGCTTGAAGAGATGGGTTCCTGGGTCCAGCGGCAAAGGCCATGTGTTGCCTGGAGGCAGTGGTTATGCCAAGAGATCCACAAAGATGGCGTTGGCTGTGGTCTGGCCGAAGATGAAGGCTCCTAGGGTGACCAAGAGGACACCATAACTGACCAGCGCCCACCAGCTGTAGGGCAGAGGAAGAGAGGGGCCTAGTCAGTCAACCCATCCTTGACTTTGCAGACTTTATATCTATCTATCAGTTAATTATTGTAATAACTTATACCACTTCTCCTGTGGGTAGGCACTTCCTACTTCTAAGTGACTTTTCATACAAAGATATGTGGGACTAGATTATATGATCCCTAGACCATGGGTCAGTAGACCTAGACCTAATAGGATTCATGGACTGGTCACAGCAAGCCAAGGGCAGAACCAGGATTAGAATGCATATGTTCTGATGGAAATATGTTCAGGGAAAAGCAGTTCATGTGGAATGTGACCCATTCCATTTACAAAAAAAAAAAAAAAAAAGCAGACATCTGCAAATCAATGTATCAAAGAAAGCAACAGGGCATTAAGAGGGTACAACAGGGTACTGAGATTCAGAATGATTTTAATTTTCTTCCTTAGACTAATATTTTTAAAGTTTTTTTTTATAAGGAATATTACTTGCACATTAATTTTTTTTTAAAAAGCTTGCAACCAGTTTTCAACCTCTGTGCTATTCAAGAAAACGTGGATATTAAAACAATGTCATATTTTTCATCTATCAGACTAACAGAAATTTAAAAGACTGTTCCATACAATCCTCGCAGGGCTGTGCAGAAGAGGCACTCACACTCTCTGCTGCTAGGACTCTGAGTGGTACTGCCTTTCTAGAGGGAGATTTGAACCCATGTGCCAAAGTCAAAAGGAGCACATCCCATGATTCAGTAATTCCCTTCTAAGAATTGATCCTACTAAGATCTTCAAAACAGGTGTGCCAAATCGCCCAGGTGAAAGAGTATTCATGCATTCACAAAACAGAACACTCTGCAGTCCTCAAAAGAGGGAAGAAGTGGACGGATCTTCCTGTGCTGACAGTGATCTCTAAGACACATGGTTAAGTGAACCGCAAACGTTAGGAGTCTGGCATGAAGCCATTTTTGGAGAACCCCAACTAGACACAGAGCGTCACATGCTTGTGCATACACACGCATGCTTCATGCACACAGAGCTCTCTCAGGAGGAGGGATGCGGCGGGGAGGGCGCTGCAGGGGGAAGAGGGACTTCCACACTCTTCTCTGAAGTCCTCCAGTAGCATTGAAGCTGTTACAACCAGCATGTGCCACCCATTTAAAAAGGGATTTAGAAAACTCTTATGGCTTTCAAGTTCACAAGTCTCTTGATCCTTGTTTCTGGCCCCCCTGCCCCCACCGGACCATCCCTCATCCAGCACCTCCCTGACAGGACCACAGGGGTGCCCTGCTTTACCTGGCCGGCTTGACTTCTTCCATCTCAGACAGTTTGGCTTGAATGAGGCACAGTCCTGGAAGAGAAGAGGCGGCCCCCAGAGCTCAGGTGGGTTCCTTCACTGGGGCCTCCCCTCCCCCTTTATCAAGAGGTGGTGACAGTGAGTCGAGAAGGGCCTGTGTGTGTTCCTCCCTGATACCCCATCTCCGTCTCCACTCCCCGCACAGCTGAGGCACCTGACAGGCACCCCATGGGCTGCACTCGAGCTACAGAGCTCAGGGGCAGCAGCCCCCACCACACCTGGGGCCCTTCCCTGTGCCCTTCTGAGCAGGTGTGGCCGCCACTGCTCCAAGCAATGTGGCAAGGCCTTTCCAGTTGGTCTCCCAGGGAGGAGTAAAGTGGGTACAGGCAGAACTCATGGCTGGGCCCAAGGGACCATTTCCTGGGGACGTGGTGGCAGACATCATGTGTCCGTCTCCCGACCTCTGCATCAGTGTGCAGCCACCAGACCCCATCAGCCTCTGGGCTATCCCAAGATGAACCAGCCCGACCCCTCATCGTCACGCAGCGACCGATGCGTGAAGGAAAGGTTTAGGAGTGCAGGCTGGGTCAAATAAGCTGCTACTCAAGCCTTGAGTCTGTTCATTTCCCCTCATCGCCTCATCAGCAAAGTGGAGAAAGCATCTGGATCTTCTTTTCAGGAGAGGCGGGGCTCAGCCACGGAGCCTGAGGTGGGTGGTTAATAAGCACTAGCAGGAGCGCAAAGGAGGAGCGGAGGCCCAGAGACCTGGGGGGCCAGTGCTGTGGGGGGTGGCGGGGGTCCCCACCTGGGAAGACAAAGATGAAGCAGGCGGCCAGGCCTCCGATGACCGAGATGACCTTGCCGATGTCAGGGATGAAGAGTGCCAGCAGCAGGGTGAGCAGGAACCAGACGAGGGTCTGCAGCACGCGCCGGCGCCGCTCGCGCCCCACGTCCTCCTCCACGGGCATCCCCTGATAGCGCAGCCACAGGCCTTCGACCACCGCCCTGCCCACAAGGACGTGGCTCAGAGGCCCCCCTCCAGTTCCTGGAGCTAGACCTCGAGCCAGTAGACTGGGGGTATGGCCCTAAGCTCTGAGCCTGTTTCCTGTTGTGTGAAGTAGGCCTAGCGGTACTCCATGGGGACCGGAGGGGATAGTGGATGTGATACGCTCAGTGCCTGGCCCGGCCCAGGATGTCTTCACCCCCTGGGAACTCATGCTATTATTCTCCTCAGGTACCTACAAGGCTAGGTGTTCAGGAAAGGACCTGGACTACAGGTTCTTAGAGGACTCAGAGAAGGTCAAAGGACCACATTCAAAGGGCTTTCAAAAAGGGGAGAGGGACAGGGAGGGAGCACCCCCATGGAGTGGGGAGGGTGCTCACCGCCCACAGAAGTGCAGGATGGGGTAGGAGGTGAGCACGCTCAGGATGATGAAGGCACGGGCAAGAGCCACAGCCATGTCCTCGGAAGGGTAGGACAGCAGCACGTCGGGGTCCACAGCAGCTCCAAAGGTCAGGAAGCCACAGATTCCTGAGGACAGGAACAAGAGGGCTGGGCAGAGGTGATCCTGGGAGGGTAAGGCGATGGACCTTTTACTCCTGGGTGCAGTGTCAGATGGGGAGGGTGCTGGAGCAGCTCTGGAGGCTAAGACGGTGTCGGGGTGGGACCCGAGGCCTCCTCCCTGACTTCTCCCATTCCATCCCCACTGCCACCTTTGTCATCTTGAGCTCACCCAGCACATTCCTCTGCACGAACATTCTGTCTGCCCAGCCCTTCACGCCCTCCTCCCCTCACCTTCAGGTCGCCGCTCAGATGTCCGTTCCTCAGAGAACGCGCCCACCCAGCCCATCCACAATGACCCCCCACCCCCGGCCCTGGGCACTCACTCATGTCACCCTGCTCTATCTTCCTCAGACTGCTACTTTCTCTCTGCATTTTCTTTTTTTAACACTTGTTCATCATGTGTCTCCCCAGCCAGAACATGAGCCCCAGAAGGGCAGAGGCTCTGCCTATTTGCCTTTCCTGTTCCTGGCTTTGTCTTCAGAGGTAGAACAGTGCTGGCCCCATAACACCTGTGGAAAGAATTACAGGGCCTGGGCTTCCTTGTCTTCTGGTCCCGCACTGTCATCTAAACCGTTCCCTGCGTGGCACCCATAGCCATTTTTTGCCAAGATGTGTCCCTGCTTGAAATGCTTCCTCTCTGGCTCCCAACAGTCCTCAGGCCCAATAGGCCCAACAGGCCCTGTCTGGCCTCCCTGCCTGCTCCCAACTCTGTCCACTCCAGACCTTTCTGTCCCTGCTTTCAGATGCTGGCTCCTCATCACTGGGGCCTTCCCAGTTGCCACCCGCTCAGAGAGGAGGCTTCTGTGAACCATCCCCTTTCTGTGATCCATGGTGGCCATCCCCACCTCTCCCAGTCCCACTCACAACTTCCCTGTTTGACTGTCACAGTGGCACTCACCACTGTCTAGAATGCCTTACTGATTCCTGATTTACTGTGTAAGGCTCTCTCTGGCTAGACCATCAATTCCATGAGAGCAGGACCATGGCTGTCAATCTTCACAGCATCCCCCATGCTGGGAACAGTTCCTGGCACTTACTAGGGACTGATTGAGACCTGCTGAATGAATGCATGAATACAGCTCTCTCATTCGGGTGGGAGGAGGCCTAAGGCAGCTTGAGTTCAAGCCAACACCTACAGAAGTGTTTGATATGCTGGAAGTGCAGGGCTGTCCCCCTGGAGAGCTGGGCCAGAGGACATAGAGACAAAGAGGGAAATTGGGAGCACTCCAAGTCCAGCCATTGCAGGGGAGCACTCACCCGTGCCCATGTAGACAGCGAGGGCGATGACCATGGCGGCTGTCACCACCCCACCCCAGGTCTTCACCTTGGGCTGCCGCATGCTGTTGAAGACGGGTACGCTGCTCACGTGGCACTGTCAGGATGAAGGTTACAGTTATGAGGCAAAGTGATCCTTTCCCTGGTTTCCAGAGGGAGGTATGTTGGGGGACAAAAGCCATGGGGACAAAGGACAACGCCCAGGGCCCTGACTTTTGTCTTTCCTCCCAGGATGTCCCCATCCTCCCTGTAATGTGGGGTCCAGCCCGGAATGGGGAACGAGCTGAGAGGGTGACAGGATCCTTGCAACCAGCACCTGAAATCCGAAGCAGATGGTGGGCATAGCATTGAACACGGCCACCCAGGAAGCTGGCCTGTGGACAAAGACACAAGAATCTGCTGCATGTGCACCCCATGCAGAGCCACCGATCACCCCCATGTCCTGCTTCACTCAGGCCACCAGGGCTCTCCCCCACCACTATTCTACACATTTAACCCCCTCTAAGTCTGGAAACAGGGAGAGGGCACATCTCCATTTCACAGGTCAGTAAACTGGGGCTGTGGAAGACCCTGCAGAGACCCAAATCCTGAATTTCTGGCTCCTGTACCGGACTTTTCTTTTCTTTTCTTTTTCAAAAACAGGAAACTTTTTTTGGTCTTAAATGACAAAACCAATTTCTCCTCATACAGAAGATAAAGAAATTAAACGAGCACAAGTTGTAAAAACGTGCAAGTCCACTCTGGTAGTCTCTGTAACCAGAGGTCTTGTCTCATGACAACTCATCTGTTGGATATTGGTGGCAAAGTCTCCCCATCCCTGGTCCTCACTCTTCCCTCCAATAAAAAGAGATAAGGACCTCCTGCCTCCTTCCTACAATGACTAGTGAGTCAAGCTCTGGTGAGCCAATGAGCCTTGAGAAGAGCACCTATGTGGCCCAGCACCTCCTGGGGCCCAAGTGGTGGCTTCCCCTGGGGGTTCTTACCCACCTGGTCAGGATGTCCCCTGGGGTCATCTCTTTATCTGGCCAGATATATTTGATGATAATGATGGCAGTGACGTACCAGGTGCCCACGACGCTCAAGAAGCTGCCAGAAAGAATGGACTGAGTTTCCTCTTCCCCAGCCCCAGCTTCCCTCCCTGATTTCACCCCAGGGAGTATCCACCCTCAGCTCTAGTGACCACAGTGTCTACTGAGTGAATTGGGGGACTATTCCAAACAAAGATTAAAATAATGCATAAGAAATAAGTTTTAGAGGGGTGCCTGGTTGGCTCAGTCAGAAGAGCATAAGACTCTTGATCCTGGGGTCATGAGTTTGAGCCTCATGTTGGGTGTAGAAATAAATAAACTTAAAAAAAAAAAAGAAATAAGTTTTAGAGAAACTGGTCACAGCTTGGAGGGAGCTGGTCCCCAAGAGGGGGCCAGACTGACATTTCTAACCATGAGGAAATGCACTGGTTCAGCTCCTCAAAGCCTCCTCAAACTGGGCCTCAGAGCCCATCTGTTACTTCCATCAGTAAAGCCCCCGCTTGGTGACAGCTGCGAGTAGGGCCCTTGAGAACTAGGAGGTGCTGGAGGGAAAAGGGCTGGGATGTCAACATGAAAGGGGACCCCGGAGATAGCTGAGTGTGACCCTGTCAAATATAGATTGCAGGAAACGCTCAGAATCACACAGCTTTTCAGACCTTGAGCCAGGAAGCCAGTCCTCTCCCTTCATACCAAACTACATGGAACACTGGGCCAGGCTTGACAATATCAAATGATCAAATGATCAAAAATCCACTCTCCCTGGGAAAACCACAGCCCTGCCGGGAAGCTGCCTTCACACTCCTGATTATCATCTGTCCCTTCTTTGACAAGGACATTTGGGACGGAGTCTCTCACTGATGCAAAGGGCCACTGTCTTCCTTGTGGCTGACACATAGGGAAATCTTAGGCCAGAAGCCTTGCAAGCCCTGCTCCACCCTGCCTTGCCCACTCTTGCTGCCCCAGAAGGAAAGGGCTTCTCCAGCAGTGCCTGGGTCTCTAGCTGCCTGTGACAGGAGTTTCCGTCTGGCCTGGGCTGGGGTGGGGCCTCCGAACCTGGCATATTTCTGGAAGCCGATCTCTCTGGGGATGGAAAGGGGCAGGATGAAGAGAAAGGCCGTGAGGCTGATGGTGAACTTTCGGTCTGTGTACCAGGGGCTGCCACTGGCCCCCTCAGGCTCCTTTGCCATCACAGCTATAACTGCACAGGAAAAAAGGAGGGAATATCACTCCAGGCTCATGCAGGCTGCAGCCCTCCCCTCCGGTGAGCCTCAGGACCTCCATCAGAGTAATGGGCTCAGCAGCCAGGAGGGAGGATTCGCAGAAGAATGCCGGACCCAGGCCAGGCCCTGGGCGGGTGTTTGTGCCTGTCCCCTCCCCCCGGGGAGCACCAGCACTGAGGGGGAGGGATGAAGTAGGTCCCGAGGGGGAGCCTCACTCTTGTCTTGTTGGTCCCCAATGATGATGAGGAAGGCGATGCAGGTGCCAAAGGTGTAGATGGCAATGGTCACCTCACAAAGCACTCCCGTCAGCTTGCCACACACGGCCCATACCACCTCCTGGTAGGTCCTCTCGTTGCTGGCCTGGGAGCAGTAGGCCAGGATGACGAGGCCGCTGATGATGAAGACCAGCATGCCCTGCAGGCAGGACAGAGCCAGAGGCTGTGTGGAAGGCCTGGCAGCAAACGGCAGTCTGGGCTTGCACAGCGTTGATGAGGCCAATGCCCAAAGCCAGCTCGCTAAATGAGTCTAATCTTGCCGGCAACTTTACCAGATGGCTGAAGGCTGCCGAACTGAGGTTTTCTCTCAAAACAGAAATAAAGTCTTGTGGAAAATTTCAAACGTACACAAGAGTAGACAGGATGGTATCATGAACCCCCATTCACCCACCACTCGGCTTCAAAAATAACCAGTTCATGGCCCATCGTGTTTCTGCTATGCCCCCTCCCACTCTGGATTATTTGGAAGGAAATACAGGCTACTAAATTATTTCACCAGTAAATATTTCAGCATGTAGTTCTAAAAGACAAGGGCCCGCTTTTAAGACATAAACTACACAATTATTCAATATGCGGCTGATGTCCAAACTTCCCTGACTGCTGGGAAGCGCTCTGAAGCCTCCTCTGGGCTCAGAGGAAAGAATGCTGGAATTGATTAGTACTGTCTGCCAAGGGTGCGGGTGGGGACAGAGGTGGCAGGTGTCACCTACCACTATCTCAGATGCAAAACCCCCCTTCTGAATGAAGTCAAGAGCCTTGCCCCAGCCCCTGAACTGCATTTCCACTGGAGCAGCGAGTGCACTCACCATCTGCAACGCGACACCAGCCGCCACCCCACCTGCCGTGCTGAAGGCGGCCGGGAAGTTGAGCAGCCCTGCACCTAGGCAGGCGTTGACGACGATGAAGATGGCCCCAAGGGTGGAAGTGGTACCTCTGCCCAGACCCTCAGGAGAGGCCTCCCCTTCACTCTTGGGGGCCGTGTCCACACAGGGACTCTGCAGCAGACGGGCCCGCTCCCCAGAGTCCATGCTCGAGCCCCACTCGCCAAGGTCACTGTTGATGCTGACCTGGGCCATGGCCCCGGGAGCCTGTTTCCCACTGGGTTTGCAGATTTGGCCTCACAATCACATCCTTGGGGCAGCTGAGGGAACACCTTCAGCTGGAGGGCGGCACCAGCCTGTTTGGGACTATTATCCCAGGTTGCCTGTGAGCCCCAGCTCTTCTCAACCTAGATGGGAGAGACAGGTACTACTGTTATCCTGAGAGGGGCACAGAAAGCTGAACTGACATTCTGAAGGTCAGATGGCTGAGATTCAAATCCAGGTGTGCCTCTGTGCAGAACACATCACTGGGAGCCAGAGTGTAGGGTGGCGGAGACAGAAATATATCCCCTGAGGGGGCACCTGGGTGGCTCAGTTGGTTAAGCAGCTGCCTTCGGCTCAGGTCATGATCCCAGCGTCCTGGGATCGAGTCCCACATCGGGCTCCTTGCTTGGCGGGGAGCCTGCTTCTCCCTCTGCCTCTGCCTGCCACTCTGTCTGCCTGTGCTTGCTCTCTCTCCCTCTCTCTCTGACAAATAAATAAAAAATCTTAAAAAAAAAAAAAGAAAAAAGAAATATATCCCCTGCGAATCTTGCTTGCTTCAGGCTTACAGACCCTTAGGGTCAGTAAGAGATAAACATAAAACAGAGGCGTACTAACATATCAGCACTACAGAGAGGCTACACGCTGGGCAGGAGTATCACAGACATGTCTTATCTCTCTTTTTAAAAAAATTTTTTTTAAAGGTTTTTATTTATTTATTTGACAGAGATCACAAGTAGGCAGAGAGGCAGGCAGAGAGTGAGGAGGAAGCAGGCTCCCCGCCAAGCAGAGAGCCCGATGCGGGGCTTGATCCCAGGACCCTGGGATCATGATCTGAGCCGAAGGCAGAGGCTTTAACCCACTGAGCCACCCAGGTGCCCTGGACATATCTTATCTCATTCAATTCTTACCACAGTGGTCATAAGGTCCAGAGAGATCATATCACTGACTCAGGGTCACATATTAGCCAGAGGGAGAACAGGATTTGGATCTCTATCAGCCTGTTTCTACCTCACAGGGTTGCAAGAACAGCCCTCACCTAGAACTGTCAGTATTTCCGTGTATTACAGTCCCATACACCCCCCTCTGGCCCAGAGTCTAAATTCTGCGTAGCTTCCAAAGCCCTTCAAAATTCAAGGCTAATTCTCGTTTTTCTCCTGGGTGACTGACCTAACCACTGCCCATCAGAGGCATCCCTCTGATGCCCTCAGTACACGGCGGGGGGGGGGGGGGGCGGTTAGAATGGCTATTGAGAGCCCCTAGACCGTCAGATGTTTCTCATTTCTCCTCCTGGTGATGGCTGAACAAAAATGGGAATCGTACAGTCCTGAGAGGTTAAAGGAAGAATGTGGGTGCTCTCAGACAACCGTCACCAAGCATGCAACCAAGGAACCCAGCTCCAGAGGAAATCTCTCTCTGCCAGCTCCAAGTCCAGAAAGATCAGTCAGATGCCACAGGGCTTCCTCTTATTGCAACCTTACCCAACCAGTAACTCAGCAAAAAATCAAAGCTGTGGGTAGTGGAGGTAGAGTTTGGGGCTCCCAGCTTTCCAGCACAGCTCGAGAGAGAGCCGTGTGAAGTCAGCACTCCGCAGAGTCGTGAGACCTCCTCATCCACCCTGCTTGCATCTCAGACACAGAGGTCTCTGCACTGGTCCAAGATTTCTCAGCTCTCCTTCCCCAAAAAGTCCTCAGCTCCACAACCCCCAGCTTACCTGCTATTTCCACCTGATGGTCTATGGTGGAGGGTGTATTGCTCCTTACAGCTCTTTCTCTCCAAAGATCTGGGATCTGATTTTCTTCACTTCCCTCTGGACCCAATTTCTTCTTTCTCAAAACTTCACCTAAAATCTGCTGTTAGCAGAGAGAAGAATTTGAGCCGTTTCTGTGCTGGTCAGCAGAAGGAAAGGAACTGAGCAGCTGTGACGCTAACTCACAGATCGGAGCACCAGATCAGTGAGGGGATCAGGCCCAGGGAAGGAAAAAGGCTAGAGTAATGTCACAGCCGGTAGTTGGCAGAGTCAGAACTACAAGGCTGACGTCCCCAGGCTCAAGCCAGAGTTGTAACCACTGCCTTGGGCCCCCTCACATTCCAATGGGAGCGGGCGCCTAGTCCAGCCTGTGGCTGGATCCCAGAAACACGCAGGGTGGGCTGCACTGGGAAGTGGGCCAGGGCGCACCCGGGACGCACCCGGGGCTCGCCTCAGACACCAAGCAAGGCGAAGGGGCTGCTGTGAGGGAGGACAGGGAGGCGCCAGTACTGGATCCCGGCCTAGCACCGGGTGGAGACCGTCCGGGATTACCGCGCGGCAAACCCGGCCCAACCGAGGGCGAGCGGGGGACCCAGGACTTCGGGCTTCAGAGCCTTGCAGGGAGTGGGCAGGACACTGCCGCAGCGGAGACCCCAGGCCCGGGACTTAACTCCACACCCTCTGCTCCTGTCACCTACCTACAGTGCTTCACGCCCGAGCCGGCAGCAGGGACACGTGAGCCGTGGTCACATGACCGCCCGAGATCCAGCGGCAAGGCAGACGCTGGGAGTTGTAGTTTTCCGCCGGCTTTAGTCCTGGATGGTGCCAGCTGCGTGAATCCTCAACCCCACAGTAATGACCTGAGGTCCTCTCCCGGCCCAGTTCACTATGCTGATCCTGTTAGTTTGTTTGTTTTTTTTTTTTTTTTTTAAAGATTTTATTTGTTTATTTGACAGAGAGAGATCACAAGTAGACAGAGAGAGAGAGAGGGGGAAGCAGGCTCCCTGCTGAGCAGAGAGCCCGATGCGGGACTCGATCCCAGGACCCTGAGATCATGACCTGAGCCGAAGGCAGCGGCTTAACCCACTGAGCCACCCAGGCGCCCTGATCCTGTTAGTTTTAATCCTGGGTGGCTCAGCTGTTTAAGCGTCTGCTTTTGGCTCAGGTCATGATTCCAGGGACCCCGCGTCAGGGTCCTTGCTCAGTGGGGAGTCTGCTTCTTCCTCCTCTTCTGCCCCCTCCCTTCTTGAGCTTTCTCTCTCTCTCTCCCAAATAAATAAATAAAAATCTAAAAAAAAAAAAAGTTATATAAATGGAATGAAACAGTCTGTACTCAGATTGGCTTTCCGTATTCAGCATAATCCCCCAGAGATCCATCCAAGTTGTTGTGTATCAACCTGTATGTTTTATTACTGAGGAACATTCCATGGTGTATATACCAGTTTGTGTAACTAATCACTTGCAGGATGTCTGATTTGCAAATTTTTGAAACATAAGTAACTATTGGACTTTAGGAATTTTACCATAAATCTCACCCTTTTTATTTTTTAAAAAAAGATTTATTGGGGTGCCTGGTGGCTCAGTGGCTTGTCAGCCTTCTGCTGATCTCAAGGGTCCTGGGATGGAGTTCTGCATCAGGCTCCCTGCTCCATGGCGAGACTGCTTCTCCCTCTGCCCTCCCTTCCACTTGCTGTCTCTAATAATAAATAAATAAGCAAGTAAGTAAAATCTTAAATAAATTTAAAAAAAGATTTGTTTTAGAGAGAGACACACATACCCAGAGTGAGCAGCGGGAGAGGTGTGGAGGGAGCTCCATGTGGGGCTTGATCCTAAGACCCTGGAATCATGACTTGAGCCAAAATCAAGAGTTGGATGCTTAATGGACCCAGCCACCTAGGATCCCCCAAATTCAACCTTTTAAAGGCTCTAGTAGTGGTTTTTAGTATATTCAGAGTTTTGCAACTTACCTAATTTCAGAACAGTGCTATCACTCTTCCTAAACTCTGTAACTATGAGTAGTCACTCGCCACTCCTCCTTTCTTTAAGCCCCTGGAAACTACTAATCTACTGTCTGCTTCTGTGGAGTTGCCCATTCTTGACATTTCATAAAAACAGTCATATGTGACTTTGTGCCACAAGAACATGCACCTCAGACTGATATATGTGACTTTCTCATTACCTAGAACATTTGCCTCCTGCTGTTTTCAAGGTTCCTCCATGCTGGAGCATGTATTAGTACTTCCTTTTTTATTGCTGGTTAACAGTCCATTGTTGAGCTAGTCCCCATTTTGTTTATTCTTTCACCAGTTGACTGGACATTTGTGTTGTTTTCAGTTCCTGGCTCTTGTGAATAACAGTGCGACAAACATTCATATGCAGGTTTTGTATGGATGCATGTTTTCATTTATCTTCAGTATTTACATAGGGGTAGAATTGCTGGGTCAAATGGTAACTGTTTAAACTTTTGAGTAATTGCCAGACTGCTTTCCAAAACCGCTGCACCCTTTTACATTCCTAGGAGCAGTGTATGAGTTCCCAATTTCTCCATAGCCTTGATAACCCTTGTTATCTTCTCTTTTTGTTTATACCCATCCTAACAGGTATGAACAGATTCTCACTGAGGTTTTGATTTGTATTTCCCTGCTGTTAGTAGCTTATTGGCTATCAGTACGTCTTCTCTGGAGAATTGTCTATTCAGACCCCTTTCCTAGTCATTAATCAAGTTGTCTTTTGATTATTGATTTGTACTGGTTCTTTATATATTCTGTATACAAGTCCTTTATCAGACATGTAAGTCGCAGTATTAATCTCAACTTAAAAAAAATAAGATTGTTGTTTTGAAAAAGTTGGTCTTTTAGTTACTGGTTATAAGAGTAAACTAGTGGGATGCCTGGGTGGCTCAGTTGGTTAAGCCTCTGCCTTTGGCTCAGGTCATGATCACAGGGTCCTGGGATTTGACTCTTGCATCTTGCTCCTCGTTCAGCAGGGAGTCTGCTTCTCCCTCTGCCTGCTGCTCCTCCACTTGTTATCTCTCTGACAAATAAATAAATAAAATCTTTTAAAAACAGTAAACTAGTAATTTTGGGGGAAAAAAACCCAAAAAACGAAAAAAAAAATCCCACCAAATTCCCAAGCCAAGAAGTAAGGAAAGAGTTTTAAAAATTCTTTTCAAGTTGGGACTCCTGGGTGGCTCAGTCAGTTAAGAGCCTTCCTTCGGTTCAGGTCATGATCCCAGGTTCCTGGGATCGAGTCTGCATCCAGCTCCTTGCTCAGTGGGGAGCCTGCAACTCCCCCTGCTTGTGTGTGCATGCTCTGACGAATAAATAAAATCTTAAAAAATGGTTTTCTTCAAGGAGTATGAATGAGCTGGGCTTTGGTTTAGATGCAAGCCTGAAGCAGTCTCATCTAATGGTGTCCAATGGCTGCCCATGGGTCAGCTATATATGAACCACCTGGGAAGTTTTCTTTCTCTTATTTTAAAAAATAGATTCCCAAGCCTTATTTCAGAAATACTGAGTCAGAATGCCCAAAAGTAAGAACAGGAAACCAATATTTAAAAAATCAACACAGATTTGGAAACTATTATACCTTAAATTGTAACAGAACAAAGGCATGACTCTTCTGAGTGGGCAAACCACCTCCCCCATCACGTGCAAGCACGCTAACATCTTAGAGCCTGAGAAACTCGGAAGGGGTGAAGCAGTCTGAACAGAGGAGAGAAGCATCAGGTTCACACCCACCAGGTCTGTTTTCAGTGAGGAATGGGACTTAGTCCAGGGTGTGCTGGTAATACATGTTTAAAAATAACAAGTCAGCAGGGTGGTTAAGTTCCTTTCTTGGTTGAGGTCTTGGCAGCCAACTTTGAACCTTTGGCTCCAGACAAGAGACTTAGCAGTCAGTCCCTTTATGGATCAGTTAATAGTATTTATTGCTTTTCCTTTTAAGATATTTCCAAGACTCCCAGTAACCTGGCCCATTCACTTCCTTTTGCCGGGTTATTTCCATTAGCAAGAGGAACACAGAAAAGCCCCCTGCTCCCCAGTGTACTCTTCCCTTTGCGGAGTGAAGAAAAACAAGAGCTCACTTTCCTCTCTCCCCCTCCCTGTCAAAAAACACTGTGGATGGGCCCGAGTCCTGTTCCACTGTCTGCTCAGTAGCTGGCCCATCTTGAATGGTTCCTAGCACTAAGCAGAAGGGACAGAATAACCTTGAGCAGGACAGATGCTAAGCAGGTGCCACTGCTAGATGTCTGTCAACAGAGGACATGACTTCATGTTAAAGGTTGCGCACTGGCAACCTACTATTTGCATCTTGCTTGCAAATCATTTTACAACAAACTGAATTAGTTGCCAACTTTCAAGCATCCGTAGACCTCCCATAGAAACCAGGATTTCCATTTTTATTTAAAAAAGAAGTTACGAGGGATGCCTGGGTGGCTCAGTTGGTTAAGCAGCTGCCTTCGGCTCAGGTCATGATCCCAGGATCGAGTCCCACATCGGGCTCCTTGCTCGTCAGGGAACCGGCTTCTCCCTCTGCCTCTGCCTGCCATTCTGTCTGCCTGTGCTCGCTCTCTCTCCCTCTCTCTCTCTCTGACAAATAAATAAAATCTTAAAAAAAAAAAAAAAAAAAAAAAGTTACGACCTGAGCACCTGGGTGGCTCAGTTGGTTAAGCGTCTGCCTTCGGCTCAGGTCATGATCCCAGGGTTCTGGGATGGAGTCTCCCATCAGGCTCCCTGCTCAGTGGGGAGCCTGCTTCTCCCTCTGCCTGTGCTGTCAAATAAATAAAATCTTAAAAAACAAAAAACCAGGGGCGCCTGGGTGGCTCAGTGGGTTAAAGCCTCTGCCTTCGGCTCGGGTCATGATCCCAGTGTCCTGGGATCGAGCCCTGCATCGGGCTCTCTGCTCAGCAGGGAGCCTGCTTCCCTTCCTCTCTCTCTGCCTACTTGTGATCTCTGTCTGTCAAATAAATAAATAGAATCTTTAAAAAAAAAAAAAAACCACAAGACCTGCAATCCTGAACTTTCT